CTTGGGGAAATTAGCCTAATTTATTACAAATCAAATCACAGTGGGACAACGAGAAATAAAACCTAAATCATAAGACACCTTTCCCCCACCCCTCCCTTCTTCTTGGGTTTAACTCCTGATTTTCTAGACCTCCTCCACCCCAGCAGCTTTCTCTTTCTCCAGYGTGGGGTCTCTCCTATGGAAAAYAGTCCTCCATGAACTTCTCCAGCCCGAGTCCTTCCCAGAAGCTGCAGTTCTTCACAGACTGCTCCAGTGTGTGTCATTTCCTCTGGGTGCAGTCTTTGATGAACACACCCCTCCATCATGGGCCCCTGCCAGTGAATCTGCTCCGGTGTGGGCTCCTCTGTCCATGGCACACAGGTCCTGCCAGGCCCTCCACACTGTCACAGCCTCCTTCAGGCATCCACCTGCTCCATATGGGGCTCTCCAGGGATTGCAGGTGAAAATCTGCTCCACCATGGGTCAGCATGGGCTGAGGGGCACAGCCTGCTTCGCCATGGTCATTTAACAGCCATAAATAGTGATTGAACAGTTGTTCAGCACAAGCATCACGGCAATCGCAGCTCCAAATCCTGGAGCACCTCCTCCCTCCCCTGATCTCGGTATCTGCAGGCCYGTTTCTCACAYGTTCTCACTCCTCTCTCCCACCACAATTGATGTTGCACAGGCTTTTTYCTTTTTTAAATACATCATSCCAGAGGCACCACAGCTGTCGCTGGTGGCCCAGCCTTGGCCAGAGGTGGGAGAGCCCTGGCGCCGGCAGGAATTGACCCTGTTGGAGGTGGGGGAAGCTCCTGGCGGYCCCTCACATGAGCCGCCCTTGTAGGGCCTTGTAGGGCCCTGCTGCCATGGCCTGGCTGTGCAAAACTAACACAGAATGGCTTGCTTGGGGTAGGGAATGATTGCACCACCCTGTGGGGGTGTAACACCAGCCAGAAATTAAACTCCAAATAAGCCACCCCCTTCCCCCGCCCCACCCGGTAAGGGAGGGATGAAAGGAGAGATTTATGGGTTGAGATAASAATTTACTTAATGCAAAAAGCAATGGAATAAGAAACATATAGTAACAGCAGCTATATTAATAACAAAATTTTACAAAAAGAGGTTTTTACCCACAAACAATGTGTTCAYTACCTCAGCTTAGTATGAAAAAGGTAAATGGAGGGCCAGTCTCTAGGCCTCTGTCACCTCTCCTCAAAACCCAAGGGTTTGCTCTGCAGGAATTTCCTCCACAGTCGGTGCTGCAGGGCATAGAGCTGGAGAGAACCCATCCAGACCCTGGTGTCAAGTGTGTGCTTGGAGAGAATCTAGTACTAGTCCAGGAACAGGCACTTGGGACTAAACATCTAGTGTGAACATATGAAACACCATGCCAGTGGCTGAGAAACTGCTGTTCTGGTTAGGTTCAGATTATCTGACATTTTAGGGTGCATCATAAATTCTGATACGGGACATACAAAAGGTGGAGTAGGCTGTACAAGCTCTTCCCATTGTCTCAGGAATACACGTTTTCCAACCAGTCTGAGTTGGAAACCACACTCCTTAAAACCAGGTGCTCACCATTACTATCAAAAAKTTCACAGCCAACGTCAAACAGAGCATCCGATCCTGACAAAAACATCCCCAAGAAGGAACAACAGCTGAGAAGTCAAAATGCATTAGAGTTCCTCAGGGAGCTTGCAAACTTTGCAAAGCTTATGGAATGCCCCAATCTTTGCAATAATAGAATATTTTGACAAATATGATGACACCTCCCTGGCAGGCGTTAATGAGTCAGTCACAATGCCAGTTCAGCATAGTCTGAGCTCATGAGTGGCTGCTCAGATAAAACAATGAACTAGATTTTAGAAGAAAAGGTTGAAATTKTCTAAGTACCTTGTTGGACAACTTGTGGAAAGACGAAACTCTTCTACAGTTCTGACTTGCTTTAATTAGGCCAGACTCTACARGAAGGTAAGGGACTCGTGCAAGTCTCATCTTTGATGTCCTGTGACAAACTCCCACATGCCTTTCTTTCACAATGCTTTTGCAGGGCTATTACCAAAAAGGCAGCCAAAACCAACTTCTCAACCAGCTCCAGATCTAGAAAAGAACACTTCCCTTTCTCCAGTTATTCACCTCTGAGAAAGAATTCACACTAGGATCAGAAGCTTCATCTCTCTCCATTGGACCTTTCTTGGCCTTAAGTGTRTGTGAGTGTATGATGCACTGTGATGCAGTGAACAGAATACTGGTATCTTACTGCGTGTGTCCAGTGTTCAATTACCTTACATCCTGCAATCCCCTTCACATGCTCTCAGTTTTGGTAATAGTTCAATACACAATACTGAACAAGCTCCAGATGATGCTGAAGTAAAATTTCATTTCAGGGAGATACCTGCAGAATATGCGTGTGAGAGGAAATGGAAATAGTCCTTCAAAACAAATTTGTAAGTTTGATTTAATTGATAAGATGTCATCAAAGAGCTAGAATGGCCACCAATCCATATCTCTGTTATCCAATACAAATTTGAAAAATCAAATATCTTCATAAAATATTTATTTCACAAGAAKTCATGACCAAAAAGAAGTACCTGGGAAAGAAAACTTTATAAAAGTAGGCAGTTTAATTCAGGTTATTAAAACTATTAAAAATGCTTCAAATTGATACTTCATGATTACTACCTTCTGTGTCTGAAGAGGGCTTTGTGGATTTGCTACCAACAGTCCCAATGAAATGCCAAAATATTTTCCATATGAAGAAGTATTAGCAATATTAGCCACCAAGACCATAAGAGATTGCAGACAAGGAGAGGTAATGCTATTTCCTGATCGCACACAGCTGAATCTTCATCTTTTGAGCATCACCTTGAGATGGTGTTAACAACAGAAACTGATGAGTTTGATACCACAACTSTGGATCAGATTGAGAAGGTTACTTAGAAAGACATGGCCCCTGCCAAGAATGGTGAAGTATTTATCACATATGTGCTGTCTTGTAAATACATAGTAAGGGAGAGGAAAATGCTGCTCAAGCAGAGGGCTGTGCCTGTGATACATGCTGGCTCAGGGCTTGTTTCTTCCGTGCCACAGCCATGCGCAAGGCCTGAAGGATCATGTTCTCATTGTTCATTATGTTGTAATTAGTCAGCTTCAGAAGCTTGTTGAAATCTTCTGCTTTYAGTGAGACCTCCCTGGTTGAGTATGGAGAAGAGAAACTGGAGATATCAACCTTGCCCTGTTCCATTTCAGCAGCGGTACGTTCCATGCCTGTCAAGGGAAAATAAGGAAAGTGCTTGTATAGTCTATATGTATAGAAATACCATACTTCGATAGAATAGGTCAAGAATAACTTGKAGATGCAATTACTATGAAGATAAGTGCAGTGATCTGAACTCTGAAAGATCTACTTCTGAACAAAGCCTACTGGAATAAATTGTCACCAAATGTCGTTTCCATTACASTCAGCACCATCTACTGGCCAGCTCATGGCACATCCTTTTTGTGGTCACTGGTGCCCAAGGCTTACGAGGCAGATCCTTCAGTACAATACAAACTAAAAGGAATAGAGATATATAGGACAGCAGGAAGCAGAATATTATTAGCCTTGGAAATCATCTTTAAAGCAAAGTCTCCATCTCSAATACTAGTCCAGAAGGACACTTTATGTATAAATGCTTTGATATTTCAGCATATACAACCAACATACCGAGTGGCCTAATTAGAAAGCACAGTGGCCCTCCACAGAACCATTTCATACTGTGATTCTCAACCAGATCTGGCTGTCATAAAATCACACATAATTTGAAAGATAACTTGATTCTCTACACTAAAGTAAACTTTTGGAAATTATACTAAGAGATTCATTTCCATTCCTCTAATTGAGGAACACATTTTTTCTTTTCCTTAATTGCACCAAGACCCAAACTAAAATTAGATTCAAGATTTCACCAAACAGTTTGTAAACAGTTTGAATCATCCCATTTTGCAATCTATTCACTAGTAAGAACAAGCAAACAAACCAAGGTGTTTTGTATTGGGTTGAGGAAAAAACACCCAGGAACTGAGAAAATTCATTGGGTTAATAAAGTTAGCTGGGTGCTTTTAACTTACCAGGTGCTACATATGCTTGGAAGGTGTCATTYACTAATGGAAAATAAAGCAGCAGAGGAGCTCCCGGGGTGTCGGCACCATCGAACATATAACACTCTTTCAGGTTCTTCTCATCATCTGTCAGCCCAATGCAGGGAAAGGGAATTTCCTGCTCGGCAAAGTATTTGCAAGCCTGCTCCAGGGGCTGCTCAACAGCAGCAGCACAAGAAACACAAAAGAGACCCAAGATCAGACTGCTGCCCAAGCCCAGAAGTTCATGCCAAATTGTACAAAACAGACTGAGAGCATTGGACAACCAGAAATAATGTGGGCACCTGCAGCCCCTGYTTTTCTGTTGCCTGAGGAGGCATTTGGACACGATCCTACAGGAAAACACCTAATACCAGGAAGGTAAAGAGAGTTTAAATCTGTACTAAAGCTTGTTTCTAAAAGGGGAATATGATGTAGGAACAGAACAGATACATTCAAACCATGTCATAGACCATTAGTTAAAGAACTAAGTCAGAAGAAATGTGGGTCTAAACAAAACTAAATGTGCAATCCAAGACAGCAATATTCTCAGTCCCATTATCTGTTTATATAGCAGGATAACTTGTGAGTTGACCACAGTAAACTTTAGCAGTTTTGAGACCAACCTACCAATTTCTATAACTTTGAGTTTTAGAAATAACATGAGATTTTCTAATAAAATAGTTTAGACCTCAAAATATAGCACTGAAAACTTTCATCAAAAAGCTCATTTGTGATTCCAACTTCATTAAATTATCTAACAAAAAAGTACCACCTCATTTTAAATTGTTTCCAAAATATTTCAGAATACAGGAAATAAATATAGTTGAAGATACTATCATTTCCAATGCAGTTCGAAGACAAGTATTTTTCATGTGTAATTGCACCACTCAAGTGTCTTCCACTTGAAAAACTGACAGAACCTTAACCACTAAACTTTGGGGTTTTTGGGGTGTCCCTCATGGACAGATTTACAATTACAAGTCTGTATTTTTAAGTCTAAACCTGTGTATTTATGTGGTAAATACCACTTTCAATATGTATATAATCATTTTAACCAAATCAGATTTCTGCAAACATAGTAAATGCATTTGATACCTCACTTCAAGTCCACCACTGAAGGAGAAAAAAATGTGTTTATTAAAAGAGATAAAAATGAACATGAAGAAATTCCTTACTCTCTAGGCTGTTCTTGGACGGCTAGAAAAGCAACATTGAAATTGAAAAGCAAAAAAAAAAAAAAAATCTTACATTTAGAAGCAAAATGCAGATTAAATTTAGCACCTGAATCACAAAAGTTTCCCAGCTATATTTGTGCTATTAAATATTATTTATAAGACTACAATAGACATTGCAGCTAGACTTTCTTATCTTCACTTTGCCTATCTGTATTTCACTGGTGAAGAAATTAGGGATATTTCAAAAGTAGTTTGAGASAAAAAWAGACATATTTTCCCCTCTAGAAATYTGCATTCTTCTTAWAAGGTTTGAAAATAGCATGTTACTACATTCCACTAAGTTCCAYGTTTCTCAGACACCTGTTTGAAAGTTGTGCAAAGCAAAGGAAAAGCTGTTGTGATAGAAAAACAATTTTAAGACTTCTCACCAAGGTCTGTGATCCACCAGTGTAATTTAAGTGTATGATGACATCCACTTTCCTCTCTGGTCTCAGAAGGGGTGGGTAACTGGTTTCAAAGAAGAAAGCTGCATCCACCAGCTCCAGGTGGTCTGAGTGGCCTCTCAGGTCATTAGGAGAGTTGTCTAGCAAAGTGTCTAAAGAGTGGAAGATTCAGAKCTGTTAGCAAACTGCAGAAAGACATCTGTTGAGTTAGAAAGCAAAAGGAAGGTGAGTTTCCCTCCCATTCAGCATCTTCCTTTGCTTTAGGGTAGTGTGCAGCAATCCTAAAGCTCTTTCAGCCTCTCCACTCACATTTTGTTGGTGTTTCTAAACCCATGAGCTGTACCAAAACCTATAAAGATGCTGCCTATATGCAGAGCCCCACCCTAGCAATTTTTATTCCTGTGTGGGCTTTGAGTACACAATGACCAAATAATTGAACATTTTTGTCACTGAAAGTGAAAGATGTGAGGAGTTCCTTCATTCCCCCTCCTCTCAGTGAGTACTAACAGGTAACCGCAAAACCACTCAGTTCTCTTCAGGATATGCAAACATCCCTCACTAATTCCCAGCCCCTCTGCCTGCCTCAATGAAACATTTAGGTAGGAGAGCCTTCCACACCTTTCCATCTGGTGAAATGTTCATGYTGGATGTACTCGTTGTGCATCTGGAAGCCCCTTAGGAAGTTGTGGTACTTGGAGACAGCGGGGCGATCCGTCAGGATATCCCGGAGCGTGGTGGAGAGGCCRCTCGTGGGAGTGAAAACGCACGTAGCCATCTCATACGGCTTCTCAGGCAGGTCTGGTTGYTCCTCTAGAKATACACAGCATAAATKGCATGAAATTSAACTAAAACCAAAATTAAGARGAGGCAAGAYACAAAGAGGTGAAAGGGCCAACGASTTTTCCGTAATCTCGTGTTCACAGATCAGCATTGCATTATTTTGCCTATGGTCTGCTATGAGTTCCAGYTAATTTGACAAAAGGACAAACATACTTGTGTTTTCTAAATTCTGGTGGATTCCACATGACTAAAAGAACATTTTTTCTCATAAAATAGTATGACTTCGGTACACACTGAAGTATTTCCTTCTTCCAAGCAAACAACAAATGGGGGAAATAGTATTATTATTATATTTGAAGGGATTACTGCTTTTTTTTCTGATCATATAGTCCACAGAAATGTAACCCAAGTCTGYTCACTGGCTTTGCTTGAATTTTATYRTGAAGATGCTCATGAGTATTTTCAAKGAATGGTCTTTCTGTAACAGGTGCCTCTCTCAGCTGATGTAACAGAGCTTCACTACATTGACTTTGTTTAACCTCTACTAAGCCTTTCAGTTTAGTCAGATTTGGAGGGAGWGATGTGCTGTGCAAGGAAAGTAGATGCTGGAACAGAAAGAGTCAAGCTTCTTTCTGGCTACCAAATAGATGACATGAGGCTTTGACAGAAGTGTTTCTTTCCAATCCTTGTAAACACAACACTTTAGGGACCACCTTATGTGCCCATTCCTATGTCCTTTACATCAAGGCCTCTCTGATGGTGCCTTTCCTTTGTGTCACAATCTCACTATTTAAGCAAAGCCCTGGCCATGCAGTACAATCAAATAACTTCCTTTTTTCTGGTCCCATACCCAGAGACTGAGAGCAACAGGATGACAGAAAAGCTCAAAAAATGGAAATGTGAGTGCATTACCCTATCAGAGGGGCCTGGAGGATGATATTTTGATTTACCTATTTCAGTCACTTTGTCTTGGGTCCACCTGTGCCAGAAGTCTTCTGAATTGTCAGCTGCRTGCCAGGCATCCAAGAGGTTTTTGGAGAAGATACTACTCCACATTCCTAGAAAGTGGGACAGGTATAATGAGCAATGCAGACATAAGCACAAGTTCTTTTAAAAACTGCTTCCTGCTCCTTCCCCAGCTCTTCTCTAATGTTTTTGTATTTCTATCCAATTTTTGCATAAGTTCAGACATCCATTTCAGTGGYAGATTCCAAAGGTAAACTTATTTTAGAAAAAAATTCAAAGTCTTGTGCCTTCTAACCATGTTTTAGCTGGTTACCTGGAACATTTTTTTAAATTTTATTTTCAGGTGCCATGTTCCTATGTTTATTTCCTTTTTCCTTTGATAAAGAAATCTTTTCAGCCAGGTCCTTCTGCGATTCTCCTCTTTTTCACCCCACCCATGTAAATTTTTTATTTGACTTCTGCAGTGTGCCATGGATTTCCAACTTGGAAAAGTTTTTGCAAGCTACAGGAAATGACCATGCCTCAAAAGCACTCAAAAGGTACATGACAGCTTCTTTGTCATTTTACCTTATTTTTATCTTAGACCAAATTATAAAACCACCTTTGCTGTCAAGGGTATTTGAATGAGCCTCAGGAAGYACAGCATCARAATATCCTGAGTAGGAAGGGATCYACAAGGATCATCAAGCCCACCTCCTGSCCCTGCACAGGACAGCCCCAAGAATCACAYCCCATYGATGCTGAGAACATTTCCAAACTCTTTTYGAATTCAGGCAGGCTTGGTGCTGTGACAACTTCTCCAGGAAACCTGTCARCTGACTGACCCAGTACCTCTGCTGCTTCATGCTTAACAACAGGTTTCTGGGGAAAAATTCCTGAATCATTGCTGTTTCTATTAAAATCTTGTCTCTGCCCCAGGCTRGTGAGTTACCTTGCATGAAGCAGATTCGGGACTCAGGGAGCTTCTTCATCAGGCGACCCATGAAGAACTCGCTGCCAAAATCCTCYGCACGAATGAAGGCGCCGTAYTTCAGGAAGCCCACCTCRTAGGGCGTGAACTCCACCCACTCTGCCAACACAAGCACCAACAGGGTTAGCTCCACCACAGAAAACTGTCCTGTTGCCAGACTTGGAATAAGCCTTTCAGGCATTGGCTCTCACAAGAAAACTGGTTCAGCACCCATCCTAAGCAAACCCTGCCAGCAGCCACGGCTGAATAGCTATCACACTGTTCACAAGTTTCTGGACTGTGAAACTTCTGGACTAGAGAGAAATTTAAATTCTTCTTTCTTTTTATCTAGTGAGGACAAAGTTTTCTTATGGAAGGTGGACTTGAACACACATTGGCTTCTATTACTTTTATTGGCATTAGCCAATTATGAATAATATAATAATAAAATGGCTTGGATTGGAAGGGACTTTAAAGATCATATAGTTCCAATTCTCCCGTCTTGGACAAGAATATACATTTAGCAAATTTAAAGCTCTAGTGAATCCCTTTCTTTAACAACYTGTATAATTTCTGAGACTGTCACAGAATTATGTTATGTTTTTAGTCTGAAGTTAATATCAGAAAATACAAAATCACATACCAAGATCTTATAAAATACTGAACTGTAGATGTCTATCATGTGGCTGCCCAGCTACTCTTTAAATTTCTGAACACTTCCTCTCTGGGCTTGGAATGAGAATTCAAAATAATTCATCATTATTCACAGTATGCCCACAGTGCATCTCCCTGGGTGAAAATATAGCTCTTTTTCAGAATTTAAACATACCTCTGAAATCTTTAGTGGTAACTTTGTCCTTGACATTAAGGGCAAGGTAGATGGGCAGTGGGTTCTGGCCTTGGTTCACTGCCTGACGTTGATCAGAAAGTCTGTGGTGGCTTTTCTGGATTTGGAAAAAAACCAAAGAGTTATCTGTTAATCAGTTCCTTAAATRCATCAGCTTATAAAATCTAAGATTTTTAGTTTCCTGAATTTGCTTCTAAATTTACTTCCATGCACKTGAATAACAGAGAACGATTTCTGTTTACTGGCCATGTTCAGCTTTCAGTATGCAATGACAGTGATTAMCTACTTCACATTCTGTTCTGGATTTATATGGCTAAATATGAGTTAAATATAGGGCAGATCTGGGTAATTCAGCTGTTATCACAGGAGTTCTTCAAGGCAGCATATTATTGAACTATCTAATCAAGATTTCTTTTTCTAAATACTCTATTTAAAGTTAACATCCACAGAGGAAAAATCTTGGAGCTGTTCAATTCTAACAACTTGGACATGAAATGCGAATTTTGAGTATACTTCAGTTAGATAAAATTCTAGCAAATTTTGCTATGTRGCACTGAGGCTAGAAACACAGTGTGAAATATGATATGAAATGTGAGTATTTAATTTTATCCATTTCATCTAGACAAAATGCAAACCATGTTTATAGAATTTTGAAATAAAATAGCTTTTTCTCCCACTATCATCAGTCTGGAAAAATGTTTGGAAAGCTTTTTGCTTGTGTCATTACAATAAAATTAGAAACTGAAGATCCTGAGAGATCAAATCCAAAGTAGCTGAAAGSTGTCTCAGCAGCTCAGGATCTATATACTTTCTTATGACTAAGTCACAAACTTCTGCACATAAGAGGTACATCTGCAGTACATTTAKGTTAGGAGTTCAGCCTGTGTAAATATTGCAGCAGTGGACAAAGAAAAGCATAAACTTATAAAAGACGATTAAGAATCTTTAAAATTTCTYGCACAGCTATTGTGTTAATCAGCATTTTGGTTACTTTAGAGCCAGACTGAGCATTTCTGCTACATTCAGTGACACTTCAGGCTCACTGTAGACCTATGCTGTGTCTCCAAGTTATTAAAGCAAATAATGCATGTGTTCTGCCTACACAGCAMGTACAGGGTTATTAACCAGGTATCACTTCCTAGGGTTCTAGTATCTTGCAATGGTCATAAACAATAAGTGAACAACTTTATGAAAAGAAATATGTATAGACATTACCCCATCATTTAACATGGATTCAATCATGAGCCCCCACAGATCAATAAAAGATGTTTTATGTCCTGCTTGGGTCCTTTGGCTCAGCTCTCTGTAATAATTCCTCAGACTTTTCAAGCAAAAAGCCCCCATCTTGCATTTGGCTGCTTGCTTCCGTGCTTCAACAATGACTTCCCCAAGGTCCTTACGTGACCAGTCAGCATCTTCATACAGCTTTGTCATTGTCCTGCAGACAGGAAACATGATGGAATGCAGGGARAAATGAACAAGTTGCTTATGAAACTCAGGGAATACACTCTGCATAGTCTGGGGCACTTATTATTGTATCTTTTAGTTACTCTTCTCTTCGAGCTTACTTGAAGTAGAAATGCAAGTCTAAAAGCAACCAGTCAAAAATCARTTAACCTGAGCTGCAGCACAAGCAGCTACACCAGCTGTCTAAGCTGTTTCTGTCCAGCAGTAAATAACCACAAAGGATCATTTTGCACAGGATTAAGGATTTTTTTGCTTCAAATAAAGTCTCCTCTTTTAGTTAGGTGTAGGTTACGATGCAAAATAGTTCTTTCGTAGGTRACCTTGGCATTCATAACCCAAAGATGACACCAATAACTCAATTGATTGCTTTTACACTTCTTGAAATCAAGACAAAACATATTTTTCTTAAAACTATAAGATCCAAACAATAGCATCAAAACAGCTCCTCACCATGTTGTGCCAGATGAACCACTGATGTATGAGACACAATCCAGAACACGCAACTTTTGCAGACCCAAAATGCTGCCATACATGGCAGTGAGTGCTCTTATGCCACATCCTGATGTGGTCACAGCCACTATAGGCACCTGTTTGACACAAAAAAAAAGAGCAGAAAGCATAGATGAAAGAGTGGCATTAAGGCACAAATAATGACAAAAGATTACAGAAATGCAAAAGCAGCATTAGTACTGCTAGTACAGACACTAGTAAAATAAAACACATCAATTAAGATATRAAGCAGCATTGCTCCATGCTATACCTTCCTAGTGGAATATATTAGGTCTTGTCACTTCAGGGAGGATTTTTAAGAAACACAGGCCAAGCTATTGGTTTGAAACACCTTCAAATTATTCACCTATAAGCTGAGTGGAAACAGAGATTTTTCTTATCTAAACAGACAGTTGAACTCTCCAGCTGAGATCACACACTGGTGGCAAAGTGCCCTAGAGGAACGAGCTGAAGTTAACCATCCTCACTCCTTACCAGAAGGAGGTTAAAAAATTATCCCTAATCTTGAGGTTTGAAAGAAAGGAGAGAGAAAAATCCCCCAGCAYGGCCTTTAACTGGTTACCTCATGGTCTTGCAGATCTTCCTCCAGATGAAGAACATCCTTTAGGGCAGCAGCAACYACCTTCTTTCGGTTTTGCAGAAAATTCTGTTCATCTGTGCATAAGTCAAACCCCAGGCGGGCATCAAGGTTTCTTGGCCTGAAACACAGACCCTGAGTCCTGAGACCAGGGCACAGATATTGTTGTATTATTAGTCACCTTGGATGACTCCAGCTGTGCTTTTGTGTGTTTACCGACCAGTTTCTGGACAGTATAACGAAATGAGGAAAATCAGCACCACAGACAGGCCTGAGCTAACTGCTGTAGCTGAAATTGAGAATTCAATTGGGAAGGCAGAGTAGATCACAACACACTGTCCTGTTATGGTATCTACAACAGACTTCTGGTTTGATTTGCTTATATAATTAGTTTTTCAAGTTTCAGTAGTGCTGCCATACATCCTGTAATAAGATAGCTGTTGTCAACAGGCACTGCAGCTGTGAGATTAGAAAAACAGCTGCATGCCTTGAAGTTTTGTTTATATTTTGTTTATATAATTCAGAAATATGACTTCTTTGCCGAGCTGCTCTTTCCATCTGTGAGCATAATAGTGCACACAAATCAAGACCTATTGCTGAGATGCACTAGCAGCTWGGAAATTTGGAAAACAGGGGATCCATGATTTAATTTGTCATCAATGAAAAGGAGAACCTTGCAAATAAAACCTACAAACCAATAATGAACGCACACATCTGCTCCCAACTGGGCCTGCATCAACCCCTGCTGATTCCACATAAGCTTTGGGAGGGGGAAATGCCTCCCAGTTACAGGATCAGGTCTTGCTGGAGACTCACTTACCATTCATTTGCCTTTGTGTACAAGTCAATTGTCCTGTCCTGAAAATCGCAATACAAACAGTGTAAGCATGCTCAGGTCATTACTCTGCACCTTCCTCCCCCACTCCATCTAGGGCCTGAGTCTCACTGTCTGAATTCGGCAACGTGGCTGGGGAATCTGGCCAGCAATGGTCTGGGCTGTGAGAGACCTTAACAAGTTCCAGCACTGTCTGGGTTGAATAAAAGCCATTTACCYGAGCTAGGTGGGCTTAGAGCCCCTCCAATTCTCACAGTTTAACATTCATTATTTGGGAAGGTTATTGAAAGCTGGGTATCTGAACCATACACATATGGATGATCTCTTAGGCTTCAGGCATTCCTTTTGCAAATACAAGTCTTAATTATCATATCCACTAGTGTTAGCTTGCATACTATGTTGATGAACATACATATTGGACATGTCCTGAGGAAATTAGTTTAAACTCAAAACAGGGTTGTGCAGGGCATGCCTGGAACCACGTGCAGAGCAAAAGACAAAAGTAACTATTGCATAGTTGCAGAGTGACTGTGATTCACACCTTGCACCATAGCATGCTTTATGCCTGACAGGAACTGAATCACTGAGCTCTAGGACTAATCATCCACCAAACTGAACGTGTTGGGCTGTTTACTGTTAAGAAAGACTTGTTTCTCACCTCTCCTATTGTTATTTTCTCTTGTATAGGAAGCGAGTTCAGAGGTAGAGTCACAGATTCATTCATATCCCTTTCATTTTGATTTGATATAGACTGGAAAAAAAGGGTAAGACAAAAAATGAACAAGTTACCTATTCTACAAAAAAATAAAAAAAAATAAAAAAAAGGAAAAAGGAGAAAAAAAAGTGAAAGCAGTCTCTCCTGTTGCACATACATTTCACATACATTTCCCAGCATACACAAATCAGCAGGCAYACTCAGGTCTCAGAGGTCCCCAGTGAAATGCACACCACAGAGCCGCACATTAGTCGTGGTGACATACCCTGCTGAGCTGCCTCCGCCGCGGCAGAGCCACAGTGAGCTCCGACTGGTTGTACTTGATGTAGTGGAACCTGGCWGGGGACGTCGGGCACAGGCAGGAGCTCAGCGTGTGCACCTGGGTTCCTTCATACGACCCRTCCACAGTTAATGCAAACTTCCTCTCTGAAGCAAAGATGTTTCAAACTTAAGCTCTTCAGAAAATGTTTATCATTTGTTTGCACAGTTAATGTAATACATGTTTTCCTAAAGTAACTACATCCTTTTGATACACAAATTATAGGAAGAATAAATAATCTGAGGGTTTCAATTTTAGAGATGGGGTAAAGAACGTGACATACAGTGACCATTGCTACAGTACCACTGCACTTAGATATAGATGTGACAGCTGACCCTAAGGCTCTGTTCATCAGGTAGTGACTCACAGCCAAAAACAGTGGGGGGGGCACACTCTCTTCGAAAAGTCGGAAATGTGCAAAATACCTTATTGTAACACCATAATAATATTTTAATATTACATACTGTCTTRTTGCTGAGATACTTAGAAGATTTCAAAAGTTTTGGCAGAAACTTTTTTTTTTTGTTTCAGAGCACAGTTCTCTTTGGAATCAGTTAAATCTCAGTCCCTGTATCCTGTTTCTCTTTCCTTCATCTTGTAATATTTCTTTTGAAATCTTTCTAGCATTTACAAAATTATGTCTGATGATTTTTTTTCCTTTCTTGCAAAAAAAAAAATCAGAAATCTCTGTTCAAGTAATCAAAAATTATCTTTATATAGAAAGATATTGACCCACAGGGTTGAAATATATTCTGTAAAGCTATGCACTCCAAAGTATATAGCCAGCCTTCAAAAGAATTACCTTACCTAAGCATTTTCAGTCACACCTAGCAAACTTTTTCCCTGTGACAGCTGAGCTCAACYGGATCACCCAGGTGCTTAAGCAATGAGCTGGATTGGGGTCATCATCTGATGTCAGAACAAGACACTTAAAAAATTGCGAAGGAGGCAAACAGTTCCACAAGTATGGGCTTGACACRGCAATAATACACTGCTTTAAGTGTGCAGCAAATGTCTTTGTTAATATACTGTGTGTCTTGTGTTTCACCTAGTGGCATATTTTATATTGCTATACCTAAAGAAATRTTACGAAGTTAGATGGTAAAAGAGGCCAAATTCCCATTCTGTCCATCTTCTTTGTCCCAGAATTCAAAAACTACAGGAGTTAGCTTCAGTTTAGGACTCAAAAAACCTCAATTTCTTGTACAAATGCTTTGGAAAATTTTAAGTATCCAAGAAGATGTTACTGCAGAGGAAAATAYTTTGTGGGGAAATTAGACCACAAGCTCATCTCACCACATTCAGGAATAATCTATATATTTTTGATCAACTACAACCCCCTCCACAGACCGCTGGCATCAGTGAGATTTTGTCCTGCATATTAAATCATTTAAAACCAGGATGTTCAAGTGTAAAACCCTTGAGTGCTTCTGCCATTAAGTGGTAACCTRCTTTGCTCCACAAGTCTGCAAAAGACTCACCCATAGCGTCCTTCCTCAGCCTCCCATCGTTCACCTGCACGTCCAAACAGGAAACCTCTCGGGACTGTAAGAGACAACCAGAGCAAGAGACAAAGGAGTTCCCTATCAGCTGAGCTCTGCCCACTGGACACCTGCCCGCAGGGTCTTGGGGCATGCACCTCAAGAGAGAGGCAGTGCCAACCTGTAACTCCCCTACCAGATCTAGGGAGATAGGATTGGACTTCCACATGGGAAATAACAGAATGCATAGAGATGAGGAAAGAGATGGGATCTACGTGCTTTGCCTGCAGGAGTGGCCTTAGGAGGATCAGCCACAGGAGAAGTCTCTCCAAACAGGGTTCCCAGCTCTCCCTGGGCAGAGGGAAGGCTGTCATACCCTGAGCCCAGCTCCATTCAGGCAGAGATGAGAGCTGGCAGCACTCACTGTCTTCACAGTTTAACCTCTCCCAGCATTGTCACAGCTGGCATCATTGGGAAAGCCAATGCCAACACCAGATTCGGGCTGTCTCTGGTCAATGCCTCCATGCTGAGCAACTGCCTGGTGCCTTTAACATTGGCTTTACAATCATCATTTCTACATGGCAGGGAAAAGGATTATGAAATAAAAATTACCACTAGAACTCCRTTAGTGACAATGTTTTCAGGAGGATCTGGACTGAAAGACAAAATGGCAAACAATCAATTGGAAACCAGCACATTCTTGTTTTTCTCTTTGATTCTTCTTTCAGATTATTACATTATCTTTATCTTTAGAAGTTCATCTTTGGACAGGCAGCACAGACAAACAGTATCAGAAATTCCACCTGCATATTTAATACAGTTTGCCTCTCACAGGTTAGAGTCTGAACRTTAAAACATTTGTGGACATCTGCCAAAGAGAGGAGGTCCTCACTGTATCAGACAGGATCATTTTCTGACACACTGAAGTAAATTTACACAGGGATGGCATAATTACACTATTGCCCTATACTGTTCAGTTCAAACCTGTGGGGTCAAGAGCTAAAAAGCTGGTGAATTCACCCAACATGCCTTCAAAAAAAGAGAAAAAATATTACCATTTACCTTAAAATTCAACAGCAGCCTAGGACTGATCTACAAGCTTATTCTCCCCATTAACTCTATAGTCAGCCCAAAACCAGAATTTAATCTATTCCCACAATTAAAACAAATTCTAAGTCTCATTTTCCCACATTCTTATGACAAAGCAAACATCTGGGATCCCACAGTAAGGAACAAGAGGGGAAACTTAAAACTTCCTCCTGTGTAGAATGTGCCTTTCACCTTGGTGAGCAGCTGCCATCAGGGATATCTCTGCTCCCATCAGCACCTGTACTTGCTTCTCCCTGTGTCTGGATGCCTGATGTAGATGCATGCATACTCTGCACCACCATGCATCCCTCCTACATTAAGTGCTCTACCCAAAGTTTTATTTATTTATTCTGTTTTAATCAGATGTTGACAGTGTTAGGGGGCTGCAAGCGTGAACTGATTTTTACCAGTAACCTTGAGTCTCCATCTTACACCCCCACCTATTTCACCTCACGTACCTGCTYTCCATTGTGAATTCAACCTCCAGCTCCTCTTTTCCCTGCAAAAGAAAATTAAGGCAGTCAGTGTGGTTGGTCTTCTGTGCAGAGCAATACCTTGCAGGAATCTGTACTCTTCAGGGATCTCTATAAACCAGTGTCCGCCTTTTGTTACTGCACATGCCACAGCCTTAATTTCCTTCACACTGTATCTGTTATACTCTGGTATCATACACTTAGAGCATCTTATCCATTAATTTGGCAGACTCCTAGTTTAGACCYCAGGAGCAAGTGGAATACATACCACAGGGCCTCTTGGTGGCTGTCCCCCTTTCTGCAGTCATAGCTTCACTGCTCACACACTGTTTCAAAAGTCACCTCATTTCCCCTTTTCCTTCCCCTYCCATAAACTTTCCCCACTGATCCTTAGCATAAGTGAGGGTGGATTTCTCCAGKGCACACACAACATCCTGACCCGCTCCCAGCCCTCATCCACTGGGACAGAGAGATCTGGAGACACATTGACATGGTGGTGCACTTGGGTTTGTGAAGCTGAGGATGTTCTGGAGGGTRTACTTTGGTTTGATGGAGTCTGCAGACAAAGACCTCTTGTGTGCTTATCTTTGTCTTTTAGACAAAGATAATTTGTCTAAATTTGTAATTTCCTGTCCCTGAGATTTTCTTTCTCACTGAAAGTTTTTCTGCGATTCCTGTTATCTTCCTGCCCTCCTAGTATAAGGAGGGCATGGCATGAAGAGCCAGATTTTCCAAAATGGGTACCAAATCAACTCAGCAATCACCCAAGCATTTGCAGACCTAAATCTTGCCTTGACAACTTCAGTCTAAACTTGACCAACCACACGAAGTCAAGACCTGCTAAAAAACTCAATTTTTAAAATAGTTCAGCTCTGTGAGTCCTATGTWAATTGTCCAAATAAGCTGAAAGTCACATTTGGGTTGCAGTTTGTGACTATAACATTACTTTTGTATAGGCAAAACATAGCACACAGCTCAGAACCAACAGTTACAGCAGCAAAACTACCAGGGTAAACTCTTGGTGTTTTGACATCAAGGRTGGTAACCAGACAACCAGACAATATGACCAATAAGATCAGTAATGTTAGCCAGCTATTTCTGTAGAAGCAGCATCCAAAATTTGCCATGATTACATAAACAACTGTAGGCATCAACCCCTGAAACAGATGGACATGCTCAGGTGTGGGCAGTGAGAAATGCTTGTACATGGTACACATGAGAGGAATGTTGAGATAAGCATATTCTCACCCGACCACACCCKCTTTACTTTACCCTTGAATTTTACCCATACCTTTGGATTCAGCTGGAAGCTTAGCTGAATGTTTTCTCCAAGCTGGATTTTGGAGACATCAAAGAAAACAGTGAGGAGATGATCATCTTGAGTTAGGTTGTCCTCGTCACAAACTTTTAGCTCCAGAATGTTCTGGGGGGGGAAAAAATTACATACACATAATAGGTTTAACAAACATAAAGGCTACAGATATCTCATTTTTGTTGAAGAACATTGGGAAAGAAGTTCAAGAATGAAAAACTAGAAATACTGAAGTTTCTCTCTATGTACTCTATTGACTATGCAGGCAGATAGTCTTATCTAATCATCAAAATGTAAATAGGTATAGTAAGAGATGTGAATATCTCACAAGCAAAGTCAAAAAGACTCATAGAGTTGAAGGACTATATGGTATCTGGTAAGAAAAGCTGTTGGAGGTGTCTGCATTCTTACCTTAACCTGGCTCTGAATGGTGAAGTGGAAAGTTTCGTTCCATGTTGGGTTCTTGTTGTTCGGGACTGTCTTGGTGCGGAAATGCTGCACTGAAGCTGTTGGCAGGCTCAGGCTGACGTAGCAATCAGACTGACTTACTGTTGAGACAGGGAAAGCAGGAAAGCAATGAACCAGTGCAATCTAGTCCCCTCTAAGCATTTTTAAGCTCYAAACTCAAAGCAATACACAGAATTCAGTCCAGGACCCCACAGGGCTGGGCACCCTGGACATTAGCAGCTGTGACAGGGGCTGCCACATGGACAGAGCTCAGCTCCTACWTGCTGTGCTTCCACAGGTAGGCATGAACATGCCTTAATGTGTCTAGAATAGCTCTGGCTGTAAGTTCTGTCTTGTCTAGTTCCTGAGCATCCTTTCTTTTCTCTAGGACCTCTGGCTGCCAATGTGGAGGAGACAAAAGCTTGTYGCATTGAAGATTCCCATGAAGCAAAACTGCTGTCACAGAAGGCACATCTTCTATAAAGGTACCTGATCTCCATCTATTTTGTTCCCTTATGGAAAGGTAAAGAAGTAAACACTCAACAGAGCTTTTCAAGAAAAAAAAATAAAGCAAAAAATTTTCAAGAAAAGAAGATTAATCACCTRTTAAAGAGATTAAATTAATTGAACTTAATCTTCTGTGAAGAAGATTATAAGAAAAGCATTGACATGCTGAACAGTTTGATGGATAACATTTGCTTTGCAAAGCTGTTGTACTGATACAGAGTTTTCACCAATAAAGCTGTATAAAAAAGGGATTGTTTAATGTCACCTGCATCTCTGTACCTCAGCCAGAGTGGCAAAGGTGTTTGCAACAATTGCTGTGCAGGTGGAAGCTTGTCTGTGCTTCCCAGCACAAAATGAGCTGACATTGYTTCTTTGCACAAAATTGCATCACTCTGCTATTTCCACTCAAGGTGTGTTCAGGTCATAAAGTTCACCTATTAATTCCAATGTTTCCAGGTATAGGGAGGGCAGCTTTARTGTTTTTATTTTCCTTTCTCAGCTGAAGTGGCAGTTGTAAATGTGGCACCCCACATGAAGTCCATTGTAGGAGCTTTCAGTAGGAAACTGTGGTTAGCAGCAGCCTGCAGTGCTTGCATCATCAACAAGCACTTTCATATTGAGGTCAGAATAATCTACCTGCAAATATATTTGTCATCATTATTAGGAAATAAAAGGTAAGTATGATTCAGGAGATTAGCAATCTTGTGGACCCACACTCAAAAGTCAGGGATGATCACCCTACGGAATATGATCTCTTAGTTAGGGATGACAACCTACATAAATGCCAAAGATAGCATGGAGAGTATCACCATAAGCACCAATCCCATTAGTAGAAATGTGTYTCCTTTATTTGTAATGCCATACACTCAAGCATTCCTGCCATCACATAGCAGACGTACCCTCATCTGAATAGGCCTAAGTCTTGTCACTTAAATTTAGTTTTATTGGCAGACTTGACTTTGAGATGCAAAATTGACTTGGCCTGTTATTGACTCCTCATGTGTAACTCAAGAATTAAGAAAGCCAGCCTTTCTTTACCCCCTTGACTTCTCTGAATCTTAAGTCATCTTTTCTGAGTAACTCTGAATGAAAGAAGAGTAGCTTTGACTGATGAAGTAGTGGCCATATGTATTAAGATATATGATTTCTAAAAAAAAAAAATCAAAACACATAGAAATCAGCTGAACTTTTAACAATTCTAATAGCTCCCAAACGTCTGTGTGAGTACAGGAAATGTCCATATAAATATATTTTTTGGCTCTTGGGAAGCCCAGACTGATATTAGCAGAGATTGGTGTTGGCTCTTGTCCCCACTAGGAGAAGGATCAGAAGGCTCCAAATGCATAGGTCTGTGGGTGAACCAAAGTTTATTTCATTGGCATGTCTCAATTAGTAATACATGCTCTGACTTCATCTGTTGTAAAGAACAAAGTATTATTTTAAAAGTCCATCAATTATTTTTTCTCTGTAAGTGATCACTGTCTGCTACTGCACTGTAACATACACCTTTGAGAAATAGCTACCTGTCAGWCTGCAGAGACTTCTCATTTAGCTCTCTTTCTCTGAGAAGCCTCTGGGAGGCTTCTGACACAGCCACTAAGCAAGCATGCTTCCCTCTTCCCATCTGCAAAACATGTTTGGTGATACCTTTTGTGTTTCAGAGGTGCTCTCTGAAACCTAATAACTTTTTGTTTGTAAAGTATTTTCCAGGTGTTAAGAGGGGAGACATTTACAACACYCAGGAACCTTTTTTACCCATCTCTGGCACCTCAGGCTGGTGCTCTGCCTGACCACCTCCAGAAATAAGCAGGTGTGAAAAGTGGCACTGCACAGCATATCCTGTGGCCAGCCTGGCCGGTCACRCTGCCATATCCCATTGCCTTTCCCTGCTCACATCACAAGTTCCCATTGCCAGCCACGTGCAAGCCAATCTCCATCACCCTGGTGTGTAAGCCTAACCATGGGCTAACTACAGCAACCACCCTCTCACAGGAGTCACACAGCACAGCGTCACACCAGTGACCCCGTGGGTCCCTCCCCTCCACCACGACACGTGAACTGCTGTCAAACATGCTTGGGGTGGCAGCCATGGTATTGCTGTGGGGCAATATCCGGCCAAAAGCAGGTGTGGCAGCAGGTATTTATGAAAGCATGGTCTCTTCATCCAATTACTACACTAAGTGTCTAATTATCTTGCAGGGTAATAGCAGGCAGAACTGGATCTTAATTGTGCTTTACCATTAGGAAGCATTACAACAACATGACCCATGCTAAAAAACACCATMGCCACAGTCCCTGCTGCATCCCAAACAGCAGGGCACCCACTCGTCTGGCTCGAGCTGAAATCTCACCTGCCTCATAGAGAGCGCCAATTCAAGCAGGGCTGAACCAAGCACTTCAGTTTTAATTTTAATTCCATCTCCTCTTGTGATGCTAACAACTTCACCCTTCAGCCCACCTGTAACCTGGGCAGAAGCCTCAAACATCCTTCCCCTCATGGATTRCCTTTAGTTCCCCACTGTTTTTGAAAGTTAGATTTTTCATGACATTTATGGTATGGCTTTTTCACTTTGTGCTGAAAGGACCTGAACCAAGAATGTGGTCTAAAACACTGTTTGCCCAGGTCGTTTYCTTGACCAGGTCTCCCTGCACTTGGATCCAGCCAAGTAACAAAATAAAAGCTAACAACACCATTCAAAAATTTTTCTTCTTTTCCCCCACTGCATAGCTGAGTAGGTATTTGGCTGAGGGCAGGTGGACAGGCCAGCATTTCTGTCTTTTGAAGGGCAAAATATTAGATGATTGATGTGATTGAAGCTTTTTATATTCTTTTTTGAATAAGAACATGGGCTACTTATGTAGCCTTCCATGAGGCCATTTATAGTAAGACTATCAGAATTCATTCTGTCYTAGGAGATCAGTTCCTGTCCCAAGGGAGCATTCAATACTAATCTTCTACTAGGTAAACTTGAAGAAAAAGCTTTCACACTTTCTCCSACCCTGCCCTTCATCCTGGGCTGAGCACCCTATGAGTATCCCTAAAACAGTATTAACAGTCTCATTTGCACCCTTCCTTAAAACACCCCTTTGTTGAGATGTTGCTAAACAACGTTCCTTGTTGACCTTTATCAGTACACATCCTCTGATTTTATAACCATATTTTATGCAGCACCTAGAACAATAGGCTGCTGGTGTGTAACTGCAACTGCTTCTATGGTGAAGTAAGAAATAAATAACAATGAAACAATAACAACAGTGCAAGAAGAGAACACCAGAGGAAGTCTGCATGTTCCTGCAATAAGTATCATGGCGGAACACAGTTCCTTAAACAATAATGTATTTCACTGACTGTATTTCTTTCCAGGATCTCAAAGGGACTTTTAGATCCCTAAAACTCCCTTTAGATTTCCATATGAGATTAATTGATCTCATATGTGGCAGAATTGCTACTGCAATCCTGTAAAAAAAAAAAGTTTTATTAAAAATGTAGAACATGCTTAATAATTTATAAAATATATAGATACCCAAATTTATGTCTTATATAAAAAAATATCCAAAACTTAGTGTTTCCAAAATTAAAAAGCATAGTTAAAAAAAAATCCATAAAAGCTTTAAAAATATCATTTTAATAGAAAATTGTGAAGAATACTTTTAACTCTATACTGGTTAAGGTCTRTTTGTCTAGGGCTCACATTTAGTGCCCACTGATAGTCTTGGATATTTTTAGGAAGAAAAGAATTGCTCAACTTGGTATCTCCATGCAAAGCCCACTTTCACATTCCTTAACCCTAAACACTCTGTTTCCTTCTTTTTTTCATTTGTTAATTCCCCTTAAGGACTTAATTTTGCTGCAGTACCTTGGTTTTCAGTCCCTTTGCCCTCTCTTTTTTTTTTTTTTTAAAAAAGACCTTTGGTCTTGTTAAGGATGGACATCAGTGCCCCAGGACAATATGCCCCACATTTAAAGATAGGTGTCTAAGGAGAGTAAAAGAGGGAAAACATCATTTAATGCTCTCTCAGCCCTCACAATTTAAGATACAGAGACTTCCTGAGCCTACTTTTACAGGACTTTTTTTTCTTCTATGAACTTGTCCAGACTCTGCCTGAAACCTACATCAACTTCTGGCATTTGTGATCTCCTGCCATGGGGAAATCCCAAGCTGAACCACATGTTGTGAAAAGCCATGTCCTTCCGTTTTTCTGGAGCTATGATGGTTGCCCAAAGTGAGCAGTTGATCTTGAAACTCGAAAATTCTCAGCAAAAAAAACTGTGATCCAAGGGTGGGTTGGATTGGTGCACATCCAAGTCTTACCCCATTAGGGAGTCAGGATGCTTATGGGGGACACACCCAAATCTGGGAACTGGCAAGCAATCACAGGTCCAGGAATATCAAGAGTCCTAAATGAGCGTGATGAGGACGTGGGTGTGCTCAGCAAGAAAGGGGAATGTGGAGAACACAAACAAGGCACTAAACTCACAYGTGTTATCAATTATATCAGCTATGCATTAATACATGAGTGGAAATCAGAGATAGAAATTACACACAGAGGGACAAGTGGGAAAGGTGCATTAAAAAGATTCAGGGTTTAAAACACAGAATGAAACACTTTAAATTGTCTTAGTTAAAAATACTCTAATATACTCTGAACTCYCATTAAAGGTCTTTTACTATCTATTCCATAAGAGATGTTAGTAAGGTTTTGAGATTCTCTTGTTATGGATTAATTTTCCCACCTCCATTACCTGGAAAATTGAGTAGATAGACTAATAATTATGTCAACTTGCAGCACCGGGTTGGGAGAACTTTAATGTACGAGACAAGTGTTAAACAAAGTGATCTGAAAACTACAGAAACCTAGTGCAAGGTTAGGCACAATTGGCAAGAGATAGAAGAGGCTGATTTAAAATGTCRAAAATCAGTAATGATTTGAATGAAAAATAGGTGACACTTGCCAACTTCTTCTATCTACAGAAGTTTGCAGGAAAAATAAAGTAATCAAAATAGGGCTGAGAAAAGAAAGTATGAGAAAAGAACAGTGTTAGGAAAATGGTACTATACAGAATTCTGCAGGTGACAGAGRGCATGTGCTTCTGAGTTTGTAAGACATTGTCAAGTTAATCTCTAGGGAAATGTAAAAATGACTGAATCAACTCAAAAACACTGCCCTGTTTTTTTACACAAACCAGCAAAAATTTGTTTGTTTTTTTATCTCAAGGCTCCCCTATTGCTGCTGCTCAGTGGAAGTCCTACAAAGATATGAGCACTCATTTTGTACTAGCTTTTACACTGTCAGCAAAGTTAAGCAGAGATTAAATTAATTCATTTAAATTTTTGAAATATAGGTTTATTTYATATGATAAAGAGCCATTCATTGATACCTGTGACTACTACAAGTCTGGCTGCATAGAAAAATATGTCCTCAAACAGCTTRAAAACAGCTCTTTCTCATAAATACAGCTAACAAATTTCATACTCAATAAAATCAAATGTTAGTGGAGTTAAGCACCTGCCTGTCAAAACTGAAGTTAACATTTAAACATAAGCAAGGCAGTGCTCTCTGACTGGTATGACTTTTCTTTCCTTCATAATAAACATCCACAACAAAGCATTAGCCTTTTGCAAGTATTTGTCCTGGTTATTTTGTGCAAAATTTTCTCTCCTCCAAAATCCCCTCTGTGACTCAAATTGTTSGTTTAGAAAGCTTTATGGGCTGGAAGGATGTGGCTTGAACTGGGGAGCAGAAAATGCTGAGCATTTCACTACCTGTCCCATGCCCTAGAAACTTTCTAGTATTGAGGAGGACAGCATCAAAACATAATGAACCCCATTCAGAAAAAAGCTTAAAGATGAAAATGAAAAGCATTGCTCTAGATGAGAAAAAAGTAGAGAGGACGTTTGGTAAGCTCATTAACATGCAGATGTTTTAATAGAACATCATTATCTAGGGAGAGATCTCAGAGTTGWAGTTTTCCACATTTCTTACTTTCAGTTCAGTGGGTACATTTGTACATTCAAATAAGTTTTAGCTGTAGGAAGGGATTTCTCTCTAGACTGTAAAAGAGCTTCAAATCTGCTTTCCACACTGTAGAAACAGTCCAGTGGGAAGGTTCATTTGGATTTTTCTTCCCCATACATTCATCAACAACAAAGCCTCTTATTGCTCTTCTGATAAAAATCAGAATGAGAAACTCTTCTTCACATATMTTTGGTCTCTAGACAAACTGTTGCAGAACTCAAAGCAAATAATGCTGGGAAGGCACAAAAATATCTCATCCTGCATCTTTTTAAATGAACAACTTTAGCTTGATCCTGTTCATACAGAAACTTTGTTCATTCAAACTTTTCTGTTAGTATGAATGAACAGATGCAAGGCAATCAGCTGTCTCCTCAGATAGGAGGTGGTTGTCATTCAAGCCATTTTTTCTAATGCTTTACAGTTCAGAGATTTATGGACCATTGATAAATATTTACATAACTATAATTCCTGGGCAATCTGTAAAAAATATTTAAGAATAGAAAAAGCTAACTATGAGCAATGACTATTAGTGAATCAAATTTGATAATCTTTAAGAGATGTCAAGTGTGCGGTCCTGAGTTCACATCGATACTCTTGGATAGGTCCAGGGTTACACAGGGTGGACATTACTGTAAGAAGGAACCATAGAATGAAAGTTCTTACTGMAATTTTTCCTGTGAATAAAAGAACATTTATTTACATATTCAGATGTGAAATATTGTATGCATTTTGGGCGAACATGTCCTCATTACAACTAGAGTTCAGTGCTATATTGACAAAGATATAAGAAAAAATAGGATCTTCTGTGCTACCTCATTTTCAGCATAGCAGATCACATATATTCTATCTGTCTCCTTTTATAAATAGTCTGTAGTGTTTTTGACACTTGTTACATTCAGGGTAGTTTTACAAGCATAAGGATGCTCCAGGGKTACATAGCAAAGATACTCACACATATCTGCTTTTCTGGCATTTTTCATCTGTATGACTTTTACGGTGAGCAAGTTGCATGGCGATGGTTCTGTCTGTTGAACAGCACACAAAATGCACAGGATGAGCATGCGAAAAAGAAGAACAGAAGCACAGAGATAGCATTGAACTAAGTGTTTCAGTTCCAACCAACAAAGACATTTCTAAACTGAGGCTCATCATTGTGCATTGCCTTCTTCCCAGAAGGTTTGTAGCTACATGTGGCCACAGACCACAGACACCACCTCTGATGTCCTCCTGTGGTAATCCTCAGCTTGAGGTGTCTGACTCTTGCATCCCAGCCTCAGAGAAATACATGATAAAGAACCTTGCTGTGTTATTAATATAGCTGACACACATCTTGTTCTGGGAAAATTCACAGGATGTCATTTATATCCATCGTATTTCACAACAAACAGCAAACAATCTGGCAGGGCAAGAATTAGGAGCAATATCATGGTGTAATGATGATGCTCATTGGTTGATTTATACCAATGTAATTACATTCTTATACCTGATATAGAGCAGCTGGCTTTTAAAAAATGAGGRCCTGGAAAGTGCCTTCCAGAGACCTATCCTGAACTTCTCAGGAGGAGTGAGTGAAAGCCACAACTCTGTAATTATTTCTCTCTAAATAATTCAGCTCACCCAATCTTCCTTTAAGCAAAACTCTCAGGAACACATCAAAGGAAATATTTGCAGCCCTCCAGTACTTAAAGGGGGCTTATAAACAAGAAAGAGACTTTTTACACAACTAGTGATAAGAGAGAACAGTTTTAAAATAAAAAAAAAAAAAAAGAKATTTAGATTAAATACTAGGAAGAAATTCTTTACTGTGAAGGTGGTGAGGCACTGGTGGACACCCCGTCCYTGGAAGTGTTCAAAGCCAGGWTGAATGGGGMCTTGAGCAACCTGGTCTAGTGGGTGATAACCCTGCCCCTRGAGATGGGCTGGAATTGGATAACTTTTAAGGTTCTTCTAACCCAAGCCTTTTCATGATTCTATAATTTTGGGAAACCACCTAAACTTAAAAGTGGTTACCAAAAGACATTTAACAAGCCTGTGAGGAAACTGGCTTGATTTTGCTATCCTCTCATTTTAAGCAAGGATCAGACAAACACGGTACTTAATATGTAGGGGCTGAAGTTAAGATACCTTTTTTCTCTAGATAAGTGTCCTTCTTAAAGGAATCAAAGGACGGGAAATTGTACATTTAATGCTCTAAATGATGACCAAAAAAAAAACCCCAAGCAAAACAAACAAGAAAGCCACTCCAAACAAACCCCCAACATCAAACAAACTAACCCCAAAAAACCACACACAAAAACCACACCAAGAAACAAGAGGAGCCAAAGGGAATGAGGAAAACYGAGTAGTGATGCAACAAACACATATGAGAGGCTGTTCATTCACACTGCCTATAGAGCAGGGAGTACCACAAATACATAGATCAGTATATAACAATGTTACCATTCATTCCCTTATGCCCCAAAACTGCCACAATTTTTAAGAGAGCTAAATTTAACACCTCACATAATATTAATTTCCTGACTTGCCCTATGCATTCATTGACATTAGTGATAACTCCTGATTTTTCCTCAGTGTATTATTTTGTCTAGCCTAGTAGGGTGGAAGCAAAAAGTTATCTTCATTTTTTTAATTGGGGATTTTCAAAATAACAAATTACACCATTAGGATCTTTGCATTCCTGAAGGCCAAAACWCAAAGTAGTCAAAAAACCCAGTCAGAAAGAAACCCCACTTTGCTCTCAGCCAAGTGCTCAGGAATAATTCCCAGAGCTGAAGACACCAGAGGTGAAACATCACCTCCCACAGCGGGTCCCCTCTACCCCAGGCAGCCTGCTGAGCTCATTGCAGCCTCCTCTCATCTTTCCTTACCTGGCTTTTGCTGTAGAACAGCCCCATGGTGGTGTCTCCCCGTCTGAGCCAGGTGCCAAAGCTGCTGGATGTGTTCAGAGGAGCAGCAGGCAGCAGCTCCTTGTGCTTTAAGCGGCCAGGAGCCGGCAGGCAGGTGTGTGAGTGCCTGAGTCAGCRCAGCCTCACCCCAGCACCGCCACCTGAGCAATCCCAGCTCCTCCTCCTCTTCCTCCTCCTCCTCCTCCCCAGGAGCTCAGTGCGGGCTGTGCACCCGCACCAAAGCACCCGGGCTCTGGTGCTGCAGGAACGCCTTTGCAGTTGTAGTTAGAGGGAAATTGAGCCTGAAAAGTGACCTTCCCTTCATGGTGATAGGCACTGAGCAAATGTTTGGTACTTTAAAGCATCCTCATCACTTTTTGAGGAGGTCACAGTGCCCTCGTCCACAGGTGAGCTGCCAAACTGCAGTGCCTTGTGGGGAGGTGAGTGGCCGCAGTCAGGGACCATCTGTCTGCCCAGGAGTGGGCAACAAGGACTTCTTCTTTGGGCAAAGGCATCCAAACAAACCAATGGGCATGCAAAAGCCTTTTTGTACCTTTTATTGCTTTTAGGGAGTCTTCGCTTAAAGAGATACCTGAAAGAAATTTTTTTAAACCCATCTCACCCTCCATTTTGCTCTACTTAGACCGCAAATTGTCTTTCAGCCAGTCAGATATTGCAGTGACAAATACTGAAACAATTCCCAGGTCATCTGCTGAAGAGAGTTTTCTCTTCAAGAAAACTCTGTAAGAGAGTTTTCTTTGTAAAGAAAAAGCTTTAAAATCTTACTCACTTTCTCAAAAATTTTGTAACTTTCTGCATCTAAATTAAGATGCTTCAGTGAATGACCTCCAGGAAGATGTATTTGGGAGGATGACTCTGGTGGCTTTGTCTAAATTTTGTTGCAACAGCCTTTTATTAACAAATGGACGATAATCCAAAACATTTTCTGAGCTGCTGTGACTAATCTCTTCATGAAACACAGCTCCACGGTGCAAGGCTGATGCTGTGACAGACTGAACGTGTGATCCGCTTGTTGGAGAGTTGTGAGAGGAGTCTTTGGCAGCTACTGTGCCCCAGAAGACGTCGACAATTTTTGATAATGAGAACCCAATCTCTCAGAACAATCCCTGCAAAGACAATTTGCCTGCAAGAATTGAACAGGTGTCAAAGATCTGTCTGTAAAAGGCTCTCTTGCATAGCCCTATTCTATGCAAGCAGCTGGAAGACACTTCCCATCATGTGAGACACTGAGAAAAATCAAAAGGCCATCCTTCAGGAACAGTAAAGGCAGGTAAAGGTGAGACAGCAGAACAATCAGCAGAAACTCCAAGAGAAAACTGAAGGAAAGCTGGGCAACATATAAGGCTGAATACAAGTGGTTCYATGAACAGCAGCTCAGACTGGACATGTTTCATGTCCTGAAACAAAGATGACCTAATTCAGGGGTATTTTTTATTAATAGTGAAAACTGTACAGATTTTTAAGACACTGATATTAACTTAGGAAACTTTTTTTCAAAGATTTGTGAAGACAGTTAAATAAAAATCTCATAGTGGACAGACAGACAATGAAATCAGAGATGACAACCTTCAATAATTAAGATAAGCAAGACCAGCACAACAGAATAGTTTTGATACAAATTTTAATGTGCAACGYATTTCATTATTATCTTACACAATATTACAATAATTTATATTGAATACATACAAGAATTAGTAAAATAACTAGATAACAAAACTAAAACCAAATTTGCTGCTTTGAGGTTTGTTTTGGATTAAACCACTGGTGAATTCCAATCYGTCTGAAGAGCCATGTAAATAGGGTGGAGTCCAGAATGTCCTTAGGAAGATGTGATTTCTAATGCAAATATCACTGATAAGAATCAAACCTCAGCAAACCATAGACAGCCCAAGAAATGTCAKATGAAAGGCTGAAGCCAGTGTGTGGTGGTTAATATTTCCGCTGCTTCCTCCGTGCCACTGCCAAGCGCAAAGCCTGAATAATCAACTTCTCRTTATTCAGGACATTGTAATCAGTCAGTTTCACCAGTTTGTCAAAATTCTCTTCACTGAAACACACCTCCCTTGTTGTAAATGGGGAGAGGATGCTGGAGACATCAACTTTGCCCTCAGCCATCTCTTCAGGGCTCCTTTCCACACCTAAGGGGACAAACCACAGGGAGATGCACTAATGAGGTTTTATTGCCATATGTGCCTCCTATCAGTCATTTACATAATKGTAGGCAGAAAAGGGAGACTAGGAAGGAAAGATATCATTTGCCAGAGGGATGTCAAAGTACTGTGCTTGTGGCACTGTATTCTTCAGCATCTGGAACAAGCCTCTATCCAAATATCATTTTACATCATAAGGCATTTCTAACACTCAAACAGCTTGAAGTTAGAACAACATTAGCAGCAGCAATGCCAGACCACTGTTGGGACAACACAGACTTTGTTACCCAAACAAGCAAAGCACAAGCCAAAAGGAAACCAGATACTTTTGTATGTATATACCAGATAAAATAATAGACATCTGACTCCTGAAAGTTCAGGAGAAATCACTGCACTCAGACAGAGGACATCATTGAATTAAAAGATCTCTGTCCACTCAGGCGTCAGTCTGGGAGATTACTTTTACATAGGTGAGAAAGACTTGGATGGATGGGCCTAACGCCAAAASCAGCAGAAAGTTTAGTTCATCTTTGTTTGCAAGAGCATAACAAGTCCATGTCTAGAGTAAAACAGCTTGTGTTGAGAACCTACCCCTCAAGGTGTACATATACTGGAATTTTTACCTTCATGCTATCTCTAGTAGCTCCTGCGGATAAATGTGTATATTCATCCCAAGTGTATTAAGAAAAGATTCTGGAGCTCACCTAGTTCTGATGCACTGACACAGATCAACTATTTTTGTCCGAGATGAGACCCATGCTGGCATTGGAAAGGTCAGAGATGACAGTGAGACAGTGGATATGGAATGGAAAGGATTCACTAGGAAAACAACTTTTGATTAAAATTGCTAGCACAGATGACTCACCAGGAGCTTTATATTTCTTGAAGGTGTCATTTACTAGGGGGAAAAAAAGCACCGTTGGAGCTTGTGGACTGTCAGCCTCTTCAAACACATAGCACTCCTTCAAGTTTTCCCTGTCTTCCTCACTTATCTCAATTCTGGGAAATGGAATTTCTTGCTCTGAGAAGTACTTCGCAATCTGATCCAGAGGCTGGATGAATGAATAAATATACATAAAATTATTCAAAGAATCAAAAATAGTCCACAGATCAGGATAATTGAAACTCCAGCAGCTAACATGAATATTCTAAGGTTTGTATTGTCCTCCAAATCAGAAAGATGTTAAATTTCAGATGGAAACCATCATAACCACTCCAGACATTGCAGCTTATCTTCTTTTCCACATTGCTTTAGGCAAAACAAGAAAACAGTCACTGTTTTTGAACTTGAAAATGAACCCAAAAGCCACAGGTCTACTTTTATAATTCCACTGAAACAGGTTCAGAATGGAAAGGCAAAGAAACGACAAGAACACATCAGCCCAGATCATTCTGCATCATTGTCTTGACTTCTTCATTATTTACCACTTTCCCAGTTTTTCTGTCCTCTGCATAATTGGTGGTTCCTTGATAATGACTCCCTCTTAATAAATACACTTATCATATCTTCTGACATCATTAAAAAAAAACTTTAACACATGTATTTATTATAAACTTATGTTTATTTTCATATTATTACCATTATATATGCAACACTAATTGTATTTATTTTTAATTATTAATCAAGTCTGGCATTAGCCAGTACATTTCCCTAAGAATGGTATGAGATTTAAAAGTCAAGACACCAAGATTGTCTCATTTATTCTCTTAAAATATTGTAAAGACTTTCCATTGCCTTTGTAATTTTTCCAGTACAAGGATAACCAAAATCARTATCAGTTTCAGAGCACTCCTCCATCAGTGGAGTGTTTTCAAAACTCTTGGATCCATAGCAGTGAAGAGCTCGATGATTTTAAAATGCCTAGACCCATCATCATCTTCTAATATCCTTCTTAGTTACTGAGAAATTAGTAAATAATAAATGCATAATAATCTAATTCTCATTCCARTACTGAAAAATTACGAGTTTTACCTGATGAGTCCTAGAGGCCAAAAGACCATGAAGAAAAAGAATTTCAAATACTCTGGCTTTTCTTACCAGTGTTTGAGACCCTCCACTGTAATTCAAATGCAGGATGACGTCCACCTCCCTCTTAGATCTCAAAAGTGGTGGGTAGCTGGTATTAATGAAAAAGCCAGTGTCAACCAGGGAGAGCTCGCTGTCTGCTGTTTCCATCAGTTTATTTGGGAAGGAGTCTATCACTGTGTCTGAAACATAATTATTTCTCATTACAACAAATAAAACACAAGATGGATTTCTTCTCTGAAGGAAGGTAAAGAGCAAAGAATGAAGAATTTTGTCCCATATTACTCCCGTCTTCCTTTTGCTCTATCTGCATTTATTTACTGGAGTAAGTGACACACTATTGCTTTTTTCTTCCCTCCTTCCTGGGCACCACAAGCGGCTTTAGCCCTAAAGGGGAGATCTCTCTTGTTTCCTTGGGCTGAGCTCACTTCATCCACAGGAACACAATCCCCAGACAACCAGGTACACCCTTCAACACCACCCACAAAAACTGAAATGCTATTCAAATCTGGCTTTCTTGTTTTCTATTTGTAAAAGGGAGAAATGGCATTTCAGAAGTCAATCTCATCTCTTCCTCTCTGTTGGAAATCCTAAATGAATTCCAAAACATAAAACTTCTCAGAATATTACTGAAAAACATGCTGTTTTACTGTGCCTTTCCAGGTAGAAAATCCTTCACTCTCTAGGTACTTGTTATGCAGCTGGAAGCCTCTGATAAAATTGGGATACTGTGCAATGGTTGGGCGTCCTGTTAAGACATCTCGCAGAGCAGAGGAAAGGGCACCGGAGGGAGTGAACAGACACGTGTCTACCTCATAGGGATTCAACGACAGAAAGGGTTCTTCTGCTGCAAGATGGAAAGAAGAAATTTTAAKTTTAGCATAGTTTTCTGAAATGATCAGTATTTTTAAAAATGAGTGATTGATAATGACAGCTATCACCC